GTCCTATCCAGGGCAATAAGGCAAGGAAGGGAAGTGAAAGACATCCAAGTTGATAAGGAAGAAGTAAAACTATCCTCATTTGCAGATGATGTGATCCTATACATAAAAAATCCCAGAAACTCAGAAAGAAAACTACTGGAACTAATGGAAAGATTCAGTAAAGTGGCAGGGTACATAATCAATATAAAAAATCAGTCAGATTCCTCTACATCAACAAAGAAATCTCTGAAAAGGAAATAAGGAAAACAATACCATTTTCACAAGCTACCACAAAGATAAAATACTTAGAAATAAATCTTACCAGAGGCACAAAAGACCTATACAAAGAAAACTACAAAATATTGCTACAAGAACCTAAAGACACATACATAAATTGAAAATCATACCATACTCATGGATAGGAAGACTGAATATTGTGAAAATGTCAATACTACCCAAAGCAATCTATAGATATAATGCAATCCTAATTCAGATTCCATCAAAATTCTTTAAGGAGATGGAAAAGCTAATCACTATTTTATATCGAAAGGAAAGAGACCTTGGATAAGCAAAATACTACTGAAGAAGAACAGCAAAGTAGGAGGTCTCACAATTCCCAATCTCAAAACCTACTATAGAGCCACAGTAAAACAGCCTGGTATTGGTACAATAAGACACATAGACCAATGGAACATAATTGAGAACTCATCCACCTATGGACAGTTGATCTTTGACAAAAGGGCAGAATCTATTAAATGGGAGAAAAGACAGTCTCTGTAACAAATGGTGCTAGCAAAACTGGATACCCATGTGCAGAAAAATGAAATAAGACCCATACCTCACACTACATATGAAACTGAAATCAAGATGGATCAAAGGCCTAAATGTAAAACCCAAGACTATAAGATCATCAAAGAAAAAACAGGGCAAACTTAGGGCCCTAGTTCATGGCATAGACTATCAATCAAAACCAAAAATGCACAAAAATAAGAAGACATGCTAGATGACTGGGACTTTCTAAAAATTAAATTCTTATGTGCATCAAAAGACTTCTGAAAAAGAGGGAAAAAAAAAGAATCTACAGATTGGGGGAAAAAAATTGGCAATGACATATCCAACGTGGGACTTATCATTAATATTTATAGAAAACTTCAACATCTCAACAACAAAACATCCATCAACCTAGTTAAAAAATGGACAGAAGAGAAGACATGAATAGGTACTTCATGAAAGAAAATATTCAGGTGGCCATGAAACACATGAAGAAATGCTTGCAATTATTAGCCATTATAGAGATGCAAATCAAAACAACAATGAGATACCATTTCACCCCAGCAAGAAAAGCAAAGTTCAACAAGATAAAAAAACAAATGATGGTGAGGGTGTGGAGACTGAAACTTTCATACACTGCTGGTGGGACTGTAAAATGATGCAACCACTGTAGAAATGGCATGGTGCTTCCTTACATTGGAAATAGAAATACCATTTGATTCAGCAAACCCACTAGTAGGTATATATCCTGAAAAAGTAAGGGCTTGGAAATGAATAGATACATAAACACACATCTTCATCACAGAACTATTCACAATAACAGAGAGATGAATACAACCTAAATGCCCATCAATGGATGAATGGGTAACTAAACTATGATACTTAAAAACAATGGAAAACTGTGCAACATTAAAGAATAATGAAAATTCATTAAACACCCCATAATGTGGATGAACCTGGAGAATATTATGCTGAGTGAATTAAGTCAATCACAGAAAGACAAACATAATAATCCACTTTTGACTTGTGTTGTCAAAGAATACTGAAATTACCATGGACTGCCAGAAGAACTAATTAATCTTTCCTGGAAGAAGTGCAGCCAGAATGCTCCTTGGAAGTGAGAATGGCTAGACTTCATCTCATCTATTTTGGTCATGTTATCAGAAGAGATCATTCCCTGGAGAAGGATATCATTCCTGGTAATGTGAAGGGTCAGCCAAAAAAAGGAAGACCCTCAGTGAGATGGATTGACAAAGTGGCTGCAACTATGAGCTCAGACATAGCAGTGATTGTGAGGCTGGTGCAGGACCGAGCAGTGTTTTGTTCTGTTGTACATAGGGTAGCTATGAGTTGGAGCTGACTCGATGGCACCTAAAAACAATAAAAATTAAGAAAATATTTACAGATGGAAAGAAGCACTCTTTGATGGTTACCAGGGATGTGAGGAAAGAGAGGTCAATCACTAACTAGGTAAGAGACATGTATTAATTTGAGTGCTGGGAAAGACAATATATAAATATTGGGTGATCAGCACAATATCACTAAAGAAAAGGAAGACACAGGGAGGTACACAAGTCTTACAGACAAGAAAAGTAAACACTATTGCATACACAGTCCTGCATTATCAGTATTAACAAGCTTTGATCTATGAATGGATATGTAGGTACACAGGCAAGGTGATCAGGTATGGGTAGGTGAACAGGACTATGCTCAAACTTTAAATGCGTTTGTCAGACAATACCTCTACATACATATTTGTATGTGCTACAAAGGTGGCCATGTACATATAGTAAAGTGAACAGAGAGCAAAGTTAGGATAATTTATTAGCTATAACCAAATACTTTGAAGGAATGAGTCATTGGGCCTGAGGGCTCAGAATCATAGTTGTGGAGGACATCAAGGTCAATTTGCATACCATAGTGCACAAAGACAATGTTCTATATCCTAAGTAGCAACTGGGGTCTTAAAAGCCTTTGAGAGGCCATCTAAGGTGCTACTTGTCTCTCCTAGTCCAGATTAAAGAGGAGTGAAGAAAATCAAAGATGCATGAAAACAATTTGTCCATGGGTCTTATGCACCATGTGAACCTCAGCTTCCATGACCCTGAGACCAGAAAAACTAAATGATGCCCGGCTACCACTGCCAACCACTCTGACAGGGGTCAGAATGGGAAATATCGGAATGAGTAGGAGATAAATGTGGAATGAAACTCAAAATAACAAAATAAACTAGGATTAGTGGTCTGATGAAGGGTGGTGGAATCCCAAAGACAATGGCCCTTAACCACCCTTCAAGCCAGGACCTGAACTCACCCCCATGGTGCAACTTACAGCCAAACAATAGACAGGCCTATGCGGTAAACATCAGGGAATTATGCACTCCTTAGAATAATCAATCATAAGAGATCTAAAGGGCAGCATTTTTCCAGGGATAAGCTCAGAAGGCAAGAATGGATAGAAGAAAGGACAAAGGGAAATGGTAAACACAGGGAGGAAATGGGAAGAGTCCTGTTACATTGTGGGGATTGTAATCAATGTCCCAAAACAAAATGTGTATGAACTGTTGAATGGAAAATGGATTTGCTCTGTAAACTTTCACCCAAATCACAATAAAAATTGAAGAATGTAATTAATGTCACTGACTTGTACATACAGAAACAGTTGAATTGGTATATGTTTTGCCCAAAAATAAAAAAAAAAAAAAAAAAGACATTAACTTTGTTTCACTCATCAGGGTCTTGGTTAGTTTGGTATTATTTACCAATAAGTAATTTTAATAGGTGGAAAAGATGAATTTTTAATTGGATTTGGGGAATTTCCAGGGTATCTGCACAGGAGCTGGCTGATGCTGCTATGGTACTTTAATAAGTCTATTCCCTTTAATAAGGGAATAGACTACCATTTTTGCTTTAATATATGTGAATTATTTTGCCAGCATATGAATAGTGTACTTAGAGTATCACAGTGCTTTGTGACAGAGGGGGTAAAAAAAACAAACAAAACAATTACAACAAATGAGGTAGAATGGCTGTGTTATTGCAGTACATAAGACTTTGATTACAAACTGCCAGGATTCATACCAGCCTAGAAGTTGTTGACAGATAAAGTAACAAAAATGAAACTCATTTATTTTTTCTTTATTGAGACCTCAAGGTAGAGCAGATTTTCAGTTCTTGTACTTACTACATTGATAGAACAGAGACTGACAGCAAAAATGTGCCAGTCCAGAAATATAAATTAAACCTAGGTTCATATCAAAATTTCATTTAGCCTTGGAAAAGGAGCTGCTGTTTGGATTATTTTTGATCTGAAAACAAATACACTATGGAATATCACAGCCTATCTGGTAGGTATTAACCCTTCCCTGGGAGCAATATTTTCAATGTTATTGCTGCTTTCAGTCCAAAATTCTCTATTTCTTCTGCAGTGTTTTAGACAAGTTGAATTATCGTCAGAATAGGTTACATTTTGCTAGATGCAAATTACTAGCAACAGACATATACATTTCAGTCTGCAGGAAGTATGAAACTAGATTTGGAAAATTGATAACAGACCTTTTTCTCTAATGCAAAGCCATACCTGATGTTACAGTTTAGTTGTTAAGATAAGGATAGAGTAAGTGAGAAGTGAAATGGGGATTTTTGGTTTGTGTTGCTGGGATTGTTGATGAATGTTGAATGAAATTTCTACATAAAGCATTGCATGTTCTTTCATATTACTTAATTTGACATAACAAAAACCCCAGCAAGCAGTCTTCTCGCTCTTCCTTTCTTTTCATTCAAATCTCAACATAGAAATGTTGCTATATTTTCTCATAATTAAGACACCTATAAGTTGGCAATAGAATTCTGTACACAACAACATGATGTACTTAGTGAAATAAAAATAAGGAAGTAAAGTCAACAGAGAACCCTAAACATTTTCATAATCCAACAATGTGCATTTCTTGAGTATATCCTTCACATAATATGACTCGAATTTTTTTATTATTTTTCTAAAATCTATATTTGATAATTTTCTCATTAATTTTTAGCAACAGAAAGATAGTATGAACTTGTTACTTGAATTACCTTTTCTGACCTTTTTCTGGATGATAATTATAAAAACGGGAGGCTTGGAAGACTTGTAAAAAAATTAAGCTTATAAAGTAGCTAAAATGGCCCTTCTGTGCTGGTGTCGATTTCAAAATTAACATTTTGGTTCATGTGCTTCTAATAATCACTGACCCTTACTTCATGTACTTTCCACAGGAAATGAATACAGCAGAAATTACTTTGACCCACTGATGGATGAGGAAATAAACCCAAGGCAGTATGGGATGGAGGTCAGCAGAGAGGGTGAGCGAGAATTAAGTATGTAATTTTTGTGTCAGAATATTCTTTTCCATTCATGAAAATGAGGTGACAAAGATCACACATGCAGTTCCTTTTAGATTTTGTAGCTTACAATTTAAATGGTAAGTTTTAACCACTAACAACATGATGGACAGCAAAGGTAATTTTTGATCAAGGACAGAAAGCTGGTCAGATGAATGGAGGAGTAATCTGCTTTCATTTGATGTTCCTGTAAGCAGTTAGGTGCCATTACAAGGTCCATGCTATGTGCATGAGGAATACCATTGCTTTACAAATGCATCTCTGCTCTTCGATTTAAAATGAGCATTCTTCTATAAAATAAATCTAGCACATGAGATTTCCTTACTCTTTTGACTATTGAGTTCCTTTCACTGAATGCATGGAACCAACACCTACATTTTGAACCATACCAAACCAAACTCACTGCCATTGTGTTGTTCCTGACTCATAGTGACCCCTTCTTGGGTTTCTGAGGCAATATCTCTGCAGAAGTAGATTGCCCAGTCTTCCTTCTGTGTTTTGAACCATGAAGGTCCAATAATATGACAATATTTTTCTCTTGTATATTCCCCAATCTAGTTATGGTTATAAAACAATTCAAACTTACTCCCTAAGAGGTGCATACCAAGGTACATGCTTTATAGCTAACAGAGAACTCTACAGTTTACAAAGTTTATTGGTAAAATGATGATAGAGACAAATGCTACTTAGAGTTCTTTGTAATCCAGGAGATCATGTTCCACTGTTGGGCCCCAGTCATCGAATCTGCACTTTCTAGCAAGGGTCAAGGATAATCTCTCACAAATGAAAAGACTCAAGCGCAGTGGAAAGATTATTTTATAAAATTGATTTCTATCAACTAAACCTATTTTTAAATGATCCGGTCTACAGATATCACCAAAAGACATATGCACAAGATAGGGCAAGGGCTTAGTCTTAGGGCCAGTTTCTACCAGGCTCAAGAGTTAGGGTGAATTCAAAACTGGAAAGTCTCAACCTTTTATTTGTCCACACATATTTGAGACACAATCATATTAGTAACAGTGAATTCTGAGGAAGGGTATTAATTGAATTATCAGATTAAATCTGGTTTAATTTCTTAGAGAACACAATGTACAGTTATATTTGTTCATTGTATGGTAAGAATTCCCTAATTTAAGAGAAATGACTTAATAAGATATGTTGAAAGGATGAATGAATGGCTATAACTCTGATTAAACAGGTAAGTTTTACAGAATAAAGTAGTTTGGGTCACTTTTTCACCCCTCCAGTTAGCAATTATTGTCCAATTTCTAAGAGCTTTGGTGGTGTAGAGCCTAAGGCATTTGACTGTTAACCAGAAGGCTGGTGATGAAAAGCCACCAGCCACTCCTCGGAAGGAAGATTGGACAATCTAATTCTGTGGAGATACTGCCTCAGAAACCCAAGGAGGGGTTGCTATGAGTTGGAAAATGACTTGACGGTAGCAAGTTGGTTTGAACTTTATACAGCATAGAAAACTCTATGGGGAAGTTCAACTATGTCCTAAAAGGTTGCTATGAATTGGAATCAACAAAGTGGCACACAACAACAACAATAATTGAAAGAAAGGAGTCCCAGGGTGGTGCAAATGGTTAACATGCTTGGCTGCTAATGGAAAGGTTCACCTAGAGGCACCTTGTTAGAAAGGTGGGGCCATCTACTTCCAAAAAACCATCCACTGAAAAACCCATGGAGCATAGTTCTACTCTGACAAACATGGAATCTCCATGAATTGAGACCAATTGGACACCAACTGGTTTAGGTGATTGCCAGAAATATTATAATGTATCTTTAAAAGGTGGATACTTTTGAGGTGATTGTGGTCAGATACCACTAGGAGCTTTGGATTTCTTTTGATAAAGCCTTCAATTGATTAAGCTATTCATTCTGTGTAGATACCTAAAGCTATTGACCAAATCCTTCCATTGGGCAGTTATGAGGTTTGTCCCATTGTTGGTGTTTCATCTCAAGAGAAACAGAACCAATAGGAGATACGTATGTGTGTGTGTGTGTGTGTGTATAATACTGCTTGAAACCCAAGGAGAGGTCGCTATGAGTCGTATCTGACTCAAGGGCACATAACAACAACAACAATATACATATATGTACACATATATATGAACAATTGGCTCATGTAATTGTGGGTGCTAAAAGTTTGACATCTGTGGGGTAGACCAGCAGGCTAGAAACTCAGACCTTGTTTCTATGTTACAGTTTTGAGGCTGAATTCCTTCTTTGTAAAATTTCAGATTTTAATTTTAAGGCTGAGGCCCACTCACATTACCAAGGTGACTTTCTTTACTGAAAATCAACTGACTGCAAATGTTCATCACATCTACAAAATACCTGCTCAGCAACCCTTAGATTAGTGTTTAATCAAACATCTGGGCACGATAGCCTATCCAAGCTGCCACATAAAATTACTTATCAAGATTGGGGAGGGGACAACATTGGTAAGTATCTCAGTTGTGAATAAGTACCATACATTGTCCTTAAGAACTAATGAAATAGGTGAAGCAATAAAATACAGGATAGAGGAAGCACACAGACTCAGAACCCTGTGTTTGTGACTTCTCACTCTTGAGTCTATAATTCCTGGTGTCTTTTTCCATTGCAAGACATATGCACAAGATAAGGCAAGGGATTAGTTTCAGGGCCAGTCTCAGATCTATGTAGTCATGGCAGATAGTGATAATCAGCTCCAGGTTCCTCTATCCAATCTGGTATTTGGCATGACCGTGGTGTGGTCATGAGGAGCCCAAGAAGGGCCAGTGGGGACATAGGTGCAGTGTGCAACTCTTGTGTGGCAAGGATATCCTAAAGGCTTGATGCCCCGTCTATGTTCACTTTGGCTTAGCTCTGCTCTCATATTCATTGCTTCACAATTTATACTCTACTTGCTACCAAAATAATTGGAATAGCTTACAATGAAAACATAAATACACAGGGTCACAGTAATGTTCAATTAAAGATTAAATGGGGATTCAAAATCACTTACAAGAGGGAGAAGTAAATGTACAAGAAAGAAACCCACTGCTGTCAAGTTGACTCTGACTCACGTGATCTCATGTGTTGCAGATTAAAACTACTCCATAGGGTTTTCTTGAATGTAATGTGTAGTGCAGTGAATTACTTAATATAACCCTTCTAACGAGAGTCTCTGTAACTTCCACCAAATGACTGGGTAGAACTATTCCCATGTGAGGTACTTGTGACCCACCAAAGGGAGTGGATAACTTGCTAATAATGCAAATAAGTTTCATGGTACCCATGTATGGGAGGGACCATGCACATAAGATGTATGGAACCCTAACAATGAAGACTGGACAGTTTTGCTATTCTGTTAGGCTTAAAAGAGAGCCAATTTCAAAGCAGAGGGGAGACCTGACTGCCATCAAGAAAAAGAGATGAGAATAGAACATTTCTTTTGAACCCAGGGCCCTTGCACTAGATCTAGAAGACAGAAAGCCGTAACACTGGAGATAATGAGAGATGACCAGAAGTGGTGGCAGAGAAACAGTAACAGCAGAGGCAGAAGAACCAAGAGACAGATGAGACAACCCAGTGGTCTTCTGGACCCATGAAGCTAGAAAGCTGAGTGTCTTTAGGTAGGAGGCTTGCTGGCAGAGTGGGATGCTTTAGGCACTTTGTAGAGCTAGGTTTGTCCATCCATGGAGCTAGAGCTGAATGCCTTTGGGCTGAGGCTTACTAGCTGAGTGGGGTGTCTCTGTGCATTTATTGGCAGAACTAAAAGTGGTTTATAACACTTACCTGAGTGGAGCAGAGGCCAAAGGGCCACAGAGCCAAAAGCTGAAGTCCTAGAGAGACCTGTCTGTGGCGACTGCTTAGAAGAGGCTGTCCTGATAGAAGAACTGCATCCTGAATCATTTCTGATCCTGAATTGCAACCTGTTACTTTCCTAATAAACCCACAACTGTGAATATTTTATGTGAATCATGTGGATCTCCTACATTGTTTCTATCATGAAGGAGAATGGTGTCACATTAATGATAAAAAAAAAAACAACAAAAAAAAAAACAAAAAAACACTTCAAGATCAATCCTGAAGTACAATGTTACCAGTAATAAGATTATATCCATTACACCTAAAAGGAAGACCAGTTAATACAACTATTATTCAAATTTATCCACCAACCACAAATGTCAATGATATATGATAAAATTTTGTAAAACCGACAAATTATTTATTCTAAATACCTTTTTTCAACAACAGAAATGGTGACTATACATGTAGACTCACTGGATAGAATACACAGGAATCAAATTGACTACATTTGTGGAAAGAGATGATGGAGAAGGTCAATATCTTCAGTCAGAGAAAGGTCAGGGCCTGAATGCAGAACAGATCATCAATTGCTCATATGCAAGTTCAAGTTGAAAATGAAAAAAAGTAAAACAAGTCCACAAAAGCCAAAGTACAAACCTGAATTTAGAGACCATCTCAAAGGTAGATTTGATGAATTGAACACTAAGGATGAAAGACCAGATGAGTTGTATGATGACATCAAGGACATCATTAAAGAAAAAAGCAAAAGGTCATTAAAACGTCAGAAAAGAAAGAAAAAAACCAAATGATTGATTCCAAGATGGCAGAATAGGCAGAAAGTCTGCACAGACCCTCTTCAACAAAGAAAAAGGAAACCAACCAACACAGACACAGAAGATAATCATGGACCCGTGAGCCTTGAAGGGAATGATATAGAAATGGACTAAACCCCAACTAGAAGAAGAATTTGCATGAAAATACCAAAAAAGGACACATATGGACTTGCAGTCTGGCAGCAATCCTGAGAGATCCTGGCAGCACAGACAACTTGGAGATTCCTGAATGGTGGTAGAACCTAAGAATTAACCTAAAAATCAGCCCTGCTGGCCAGGGACTGCACGGAGGACTGCTCTGGTGGCTGTGGAATAAAAGGGGAAGCAGCAGTGAAGAGAAAG